TATTGGTTCAACTTTTTACTTTATTCTTACTCGAATTTTTTTGTAAACTTGTTGTATATTGATGGTTAAGATAAAAAATAAAAACTGTATTTTTTCCTTGTTCATTACAGACGTTTATTCTATTCACACTATTTTTACATGGTTGTCTTCCAACTAGTCATGCTGAGTGATGTCTAATAGCAGCTGGCCAAATTACAATCGAGTGGTGGGTGGGTCACAGTCAAGTACAAATAAGCCATTCACTGCCAAAGAACAAATATAATCATTCTTTCCGATCAAGTACTTTAACCCTCTTGATTCAAATGACATAGCCAAAAGACGTAAGACATCACCTACTTCGTATAACACACAACACTATATTCACATAATTGTTCATACATGTATACATTGTCACAGCGAAATCAATTACATAAATTTACCAACAGCTCCAGCAAATCATCTGCCCATATTAACTATAGCCTCTTTTGTAATCCCTCTAATACTTATATTTTGTGTTTCAATCACATAATGTTAGTCCAAAAATGTCAGCTTCTATTATTTGAACACAATCCTATTATCAAGGTCACGTTTGTGTTGCGCTGGTCCCGCTAACTCTGGATTAAATCTATTGTTTCTGTCACATACATCAAAAGCCATGTTTACCCTCGCTCTTAAGTTTTTCAGTGTGATGTCATAAGACGAAATGGTGCGCTCTCATTGGTCAATAACTACCTCGAGAATTCCACATATCAAACGATGACACCAGTTCAGATCCTGTGCTTTGCATAAACACGAACACAACGAGTTCTTGTATGCAAATCAACAAATGTAATATATATACAAAATCACTTTAAGAAGGATGCATATCAATGGTGTTTTCAGTGTTAGAATAGCTAAAAAGCAAAAAATGAGAGAGGGGGGTCGCGTGGAAAGGACTCTGAGTGTGACTCTGAGTGTGACTCTGAGGTCGTGTGACTTGCTCATTGTGTTTATATCAACCTGGGCACATAAACCAGAAAACAAGAAATACTAGCGTATACCTACGATTAGACGATTATATAATAATCAGAACTCTCATAACAAACTTTCCTAATATACACCCTGCAACAAAAATGATAGAATATTTTCCTCCACTGTACGTTTTCAGAAACACCTCACCAGCGTACGCAACGGAAGTGTAAACCGCCATTACCTATTTAACATATATCAATATTGCACGAATAAACATGTATTTCTCTGTCCTAGAACTACCTTTAAAGTGAATTTGGTATACCACTGGCGAGTATACCACTCAAGTCTATTGCACGTGTGTACATGTCGAGAAACTGATCCCAAATCTTATGGTATACGCGGCCTATGTATTCCTTAATCAAAGTATAGTTGTAATACCATACTTCACTATTGCATTAGGGGGTCGAAGTCCACTGTTTTACATGCTATATCAGAATTGTGTCGGGTGATTAGGGACACAGACACGCGTTTGTGTGAATGCACTTAAACCACGTGTCACATACCTTCTTAATGATCTCCTATTATCTTCCAACGTAGTTTCATCGTCAGCTCCAGAGCTATAGTAGCTCCAGACTTTCAGAGACGCGTATTTTTCAGCATGTTTTTCATAATCATCCAGACAAACTAGTTGATGATTGAGTGCCATTGTAGACGGATTATTTTGATAGATAAGGTTGCTAAAGCAATTTATTGCTAAATACATTTAACAGCTAGCAGATCATCATGGTTGAAATGCCACGTGTGTGGTAATCGAATGAGTACTGGAACGAGTATTTTTTTTAAGTCGTTTATCTTATTTAGGATTCAAACTTCTGTCTGTGTAACACTACGGGGTAAGTATGTTAGACGTCAATGCAATCATTTATTTATTTATTTATTTATTTATTTATTCGTCGTCATGTGTTAGTTAAAGCGGGGGAGTCGTCACCTGCACATGCGTCAGAAGGCCATAGCGTGTCATTGTTTACAAACAAGCGTCTACCCATGAGCCTTTGAGGTTTTAGCGTGTGTTGTTATCGTCGCTTTGGACTCAATTCCCGCGCGTGCGCAAGGGACGACCCTCCCGCTTTAACAGATCGCAGTGTCAGTGGCTTTGACACCCCCCCCCCCCCCACGGTAGGGTCCATATATTGTATATATTGTAATACAATCTCAGATATCACTCAGGACCGACTGAACGGAGGGCCCTATGTTACATGTGACACGTTGATGCAATCATGGAGGAATATATTATGAGGTTATTACGAGGATATATCAAAGTATGCACGAAGACAGTACAGCGGCAGTATCGACCGACGCGCACTGTCTTCGTGTATACTTTCAGGTATCCTCGTAATAACCTTATTATTATACAAACTGTTCCTTCCAATGATACATCATAGGAATGCCGAAATCCAAAAAGTTAGGAACAGAATCAGGGAACTTCTTTGTGTGGAGTCCTGTCAAACCCTGGTGGCAGCCATGTTTGTTTTTTATTATTAGAGGACACTTACGCGCGTAACCATTCCATATTAGGAATTCGCATTTCCTTATATGATAGGATAAAAATACCTCGTAAAATACCGCAAAATTATGGCACGCTGTAACGTATGGCGTTACGGCGACAGATGTATAATAATGAAATATATGAAAATATAATAAAATAGACGAAACCCGTTAATGTGTATCACGTTCTTTACTGGAATGTCGTGTTTATACTGTTACATCATAACTACTGAAGTGTTTTTTTTTTCTTGAATATTTACGTTTCTCGGATGCTTCAATGTTAACCTAATTGTTATACGGATAATAAATCAAAAGTGTAACAGTAAGAACTCTTCTGATCCTCAAAGTCGGCAATATAAATTCTTTTCCATGACAATACTCTCATTAATGTCCTTGATTGTTCTGCAACCTGTAAAATACCACACGAAGACATGAGATACTAATAGCCCGCAATGGGCAATTAAATTCAGGCTGTTCTATTGTCACTCTCAATTTACGGCTACGCTAGTTACATAGTGTAGAGAAACTGGGATAATTCACGTACAGATGGGTTAGAAATACGTAGGAGAAATAAGCTAATCATTCAGCGGGAAAAACGCTGTTCACAACGACGAGAATGCGCGGTACACTGGGAACAAGACACCGACTATACATCACACCACACGCGGCATACAGTCCTAGTATCCCCTATCAACATAAAAGTCATTCTTTCATACCACACATACAGAGGTCAATTAAATGGACAGTATGCATAAATGTCATTCTCCTTTATGCCTAACTACTGTATGTTGCCAAGGTTTTTTATTCTATATGCGAGTCCAAAATTCAATTTATAAGTATGGTCTCGTGTGTAGGTGAGTGTAATTTATACAAAAGTACGGTGACCCACGTATACAATCAGTCTGCTACTTAAAAATCCACCGCCTATTTGGGCAAACCGATCAGCTATACGCTCTGTAAGCTCTGACTCTATAGCTAATCGAGTATGTTAAACAACAGAGTAGACGTCTGACTCAGATATATAAATTTGGTGCAGATAGGACGTGTCATACTTTCGGACCATTATATTTACAGGTCGCAGGTTACACTTGCCAATCAATTTTTAAGTCATTACTTGCCTGATAATGCCATTGCTAAGCTCAACTCGTCTTTCAAAATCTGCAAGACGTTTTTGACACCTTCTTATGGAAAAATAAATGTGAGACAATGGTGTCATATCAGTCACTCATTAGTATTTAACAAGTGTTGTTAGATTTTTTTATATGACAACATGACACATTGTACATTGATGTACTCATTGTGGTACGTTTTACGACAAGTTTTTGAATCCTATTAAATTAATATGTTGTTACGTGTTTTACTTCTTAGAAACTATGAATGAAGATATCCAAGAGGAACAATTGGTGTTATAAGTGATTACATACGACATATAACACACATATTTATTGCATTATTACTTATAATATAAATCACCTTGTACACCAAGCCGTATATAACTGGTCTACCAATAAAGACAGCCTTAGCACCAAGAGCCAATGCTTTCAATACATCAGTACCTGTACGAACACCACCATCCATGTAGACTTTTATTTTATCACCTACAGCCCTGGATATCCCTGCTAGCACATCTATCTGAGCAATAAAGCGGGGAGAATACTGTAATGACATAACTTTGACTTGCGTGTTGCTTTCACATATTTGTGAATGCGTGAATAATCATTATTAATAGTCATTATGTACAAAACACGTACGTCTTTATTATATTACTTACCGTGGCTGGTACACCATCTAACTGTCTCCCACCATGGTTAGATACCATAATAGCATCCACTTTATGTTCCACTGCAATCAATGCATCTTCAACTGTCATAATGCCTTTGAGTATTATGGGTAATTTGGTTATGGACTTTATCCAATCAATGTCCGCCCACGTTGCACTTGGATCACTACATTTCACTTCATCCACGTATGTTGCTTCATTCATAATACCCTTGAACATAACAAACAGCATTGCAATTCACAAATGTATAAGTTAATTGTAAGTTGGACTGCAAAAATATCCTGTTCGATCTCGATTACAATTACTGTAATTAATAAATCGAGAAATTTGAAAACTTATTTTTAAAAATAATGATCCCAAATTATACATGTATATATCAATTACGTTTGTGTATATTTATTACCTTTGTATTATTTGAAATGAAGTTAACTATAATATACATTTACTAAAACAATTCATGACATGTTCTCGTTGGTTATAATGTCGTTTTTAATAAATATTAGAAATATAGTTTCTCAATTGCAGTTTGATATTGTGCAAATCCTTTTTTACTAGCCTTTACAAAATATTCATGTCTTTATTATTAATAATCTACTACAACCGTCATATATGGACTGATTGCATCGATGTATCGACCACATACAAATGATGATGCTTATTGTTGTAAACATTATACATATGGCTTACATTTTTGCAGTATATTTCAAAGTTAGCAATAATCGCATTTCTTGGTACAATATCCCCAGGTACATATGCCATTTTTCGCCTGAACCCAACATGGCAGTTATCGACTGACACAACAATGCCTTTACATCCAGCTTGTTCCGCTCTTTGTACCATGTCCTTAGTTACACGTGGGTTAGGCCAAAGATAGATATTCATCCATTTCGTACCTCCGGGGTGAGCACAACAAATGTCTTCAAGCGATAACGAACTTGCAGGGCTGAGTACCATACATGTATTAAACGTCCCCGAGGCTGAAACATTGAATTGTAATTTTAAGATTGAAGAAAAAATAAACATATATATTTATATATTGTTTTTATATTGTTTATTATTCGACCTGTTCTGTAATTCTAACTTCTAAACATTTCCTACCTTTGGAAGTTCCTGCATCAGCGTGCGGATGGGCCAATCCTTGAAATGCTGTTGGAGATATGCAAATTGGTATGCCGATTACACTGCCTAGTATTGTAGTTTTCAAGTCTTGTGTAGACACGTCCCTCAACACTCTTGGTTTTAGACAAATTCTTTAAATAAAAGAAAGAAAACGTGTACTCAGTGATTTAGAAAACGATACGAGAAAATCAGCTACAAAGATAGATAAAACAATTTTTTGTCCGACAGATTGATATTGAAATATTGATAGAAATATTATAATTTTTAACGGAACGTATCTGACTAGGCATTCAAGATCAAAATGTCATGGCAAACATTTCAAAAATAGTTAATATACATCTGGCAAAAATTGACAAAATAAGGGTTAGCCTTAATGTGATAAAACACTCATTTATTCACTTATATCCATAAAATAAGTATATTATAAATAATCCAATTAAACACACATCAAAACACCTTAAAACTGGCCTACATTTTGCATGTACGTTTTCCATAACTTTTCTTTTCACATATATCAATGTTGCCGATAACACGAGACTACACGAATATACTTTCTCTATCCAATATAGAACTTAAAAATGAAGTTGGTTTAATATTTATTAATAACCATCACTGAAGCGAGTCTATTGTGCATGTGTACATGTCGCGAAACTGGTTCGATCTCATAGTATAGGCGAACTTTGGGTCGAAGTCCAATGTGTTAATGGTGTACAGGTAATTTGGGACATATATTTGTACCCACTTAAGGGATTGGTCAGTTACTTCGGCCTAGGGGGGGGGGCAGATTACATTTTGCCAGCTGTTGACCCACCCCCTATCAAATAAAAAAAAGTGGATAACCCCCCCCAAAAAAAAACATTATATTTTAGAACTTAAAACATGCTGACCCCCCCCCCCCTAAAAAAACAAAGAAACATTAACAGTTTTGGCTTTGAAATGATTACAAAATGTATTATATGTGCATTGAAAATATCATGGTTTGCCATAATTTTTAGCGTTTGCATTTAATAGACCTTAGGAGGGGAGGGGAAGCATAAAGCCAAAAAAATGACTACAGAAAAGGCTGTAGGAAGGAGGGAAATCTATGTTGCTAAAAATAGTAAATAAAAGCAAAGCTGTGGAGTACTCACTCGATATACGCCCTTATATTTTAATTTATATATCAGCATTTTCACAAATTTTACTTTTAACTGTCACTGCTCTTTGTACTAATTGCTGTGTTGTCTTTCTGTCTCCTGTTATAATTGGATAAATCCAGTAAATAACTTATGCAATGGTGAGTGACTTAAGACTTTAAATAAAATAATCTGATATCAGCAGCACATGGACTTGGGATGTGTTTAAAACTTAACTGTTAATCGGGGTTCTAGCCGCATTGCATAATCTGTTAGTTATTTGGCAACGTTAACCTCAAAATATTTAGCCTATAACATTTTTTGCATCAACAAATTTATAGGCAATATAGGTAATAGTTATTATTAAGAACACATTTGTATGATTAACTTTTTTATCGTTTGTTCTGAAATAATTTTTTTATAAATATATGCATGAGCGTGTGTGAACTCTGTAAAACATGATATCAAAAACAGGGTGACCCCCCCCCCTATTCGCACAATCAAAAACAGGGTAACCCCCCTACTGATCCACTGCCCCCCCCCCCAGGCCGAAGTAACTGACCAATCCCTAAATAAGATACATACCTTCTAAATGATCTCCTATTATCTTCCAACGTAGTTTCATCGTCGGCTCCAGAGCTATAGCAGCTCCAGACCTTCAGAGATGTGTGTTTTTCAGCATATTTTTCATAATCGTCCAGACACACCAGTGCCATTGAGTGCCATTGTAGACGGATTATGCTTATCGCTAATGAGAGGGCAGAAATCACACTGGGTAGGGGGTTCTTTCACTGCTAGTATGGGGTAGACAATACAATAGTACTGGAAATGAAAGACACATACATCATATCAAGTTAAAGCTCCTGGCTCTAATACATCTCAAAATAATTACACGAAACAAAGCATAGAAAAATACAATGAATACATTCACTAAGCTAGGGGGTTGCGTAGGTAAGTGTGCATTGGTGATAACTCACAGTTCCAGGAAATGGATGACAGTCAATGGCTTCTGCAACACAACAACGAAGAAATACGGGAGTCTTGCTTGCAAAGGAATCCTGTTATTCTGGGGAGAACACCGCTCAAAGCAGGGAATTGCTGAGCACTCATACAAGGGCACGGTTCTAGAAGCCGTACCTACACACGAATTGATGACGTCACAAATGTATGACCTTCAAACGGGGTCGTTTCCTCGGTATATACTAATTGGTATATAAAAATTACAATAAAGATACTTAAGACATTAAACACAAGGTAAAACAAATCACATGACAATATAATGATAACAACAGTAATAAATCCTTGCCTAACAGTTGAACAGAACGATCATAAAGTCAGTCGGGTAACGCCAAGGGTCACGCCGTGTGGTTGAAACTGGGTCATGGCGTGACAGGT